AGTGTTTCTGTGTGTAGCCTTGGCAACCCTAGACTCACTGTGTAGACCAGGCTGGCCTCGAATTCACAGAGATCTACCTGCCTCTGCCTCCCCAAGTGCTGGAATTACAGGCTTGTGCCATCGTGCCCAGCTGGAGAGAAGGCTCTTTTCTCTTGAAATCCATTATCACTAAAGAAGTAAATCATTAACTAAAATTATAGAGAGAAGTTTTTGTGCCCAACCTTGCTACTGTAGAGTACATACTTAGGAAACCATGAACCCTGGGTTTACAACCTCCAGGACAATCTGATTAAAATCTCACACTGGTAATATTTAATACAGATAGAAAAGGCCAGAACACAATTTCAATATGCAACTTATTTTCATTATACAAACCAGGAAATAACACTTGACAAAATTGTTGACAAAAGGACATTCAGAAAATGAAGCACTGAAAAGTTAAGCATTTGTGAAAGTAATATATTATATAATGCCAAGGCAACAAACTATTTCAGAAAGAGCAAATTCTTTCCAGTTAGCTCAGATGTAAAATTTTCTTTCTTACATCAGGTCAAAATATATTTCCTTCTTATCAACAATCAGTGTTCTGTCCTCATTCCACATATACTGATTAATCGGTATGTACGAGCTAGCAGCTCTATTGTACCACACACTCTCCAGCCTTCCCTATGAGATTCTACTCCCCTCAAACCTTTCCACCAAGCAAATGGAGCAAGATCAGATAACTGTGGTGCTTACGCCATATCAAGCACACTACAGTCCATAAAGCAGTGGCTCTCAACCTTCCTAACGTTGCAACCCTTTAATACAGTTCCTCATGTTGTGGTGAGTCCCTAACCATAGTTATTTCGTTGCTACATTATAAATGTGATTTTGTTATTGTTATGAATCATAAGATAAATATCTGGGTTTTCCAATAGTCTTAGGTGATCCCTGTGACAGGGTCGATTGACCCCTAAAGGGGCTGCAACCCACAGGTTGAGAGCCACTGCCATAAAGAATGTTTTCTACATTTACAAATAATTGAAAGAATATGTGACATACAAAATTCTAAGATTAGTGTCCATAAGTGAATTTTATCCAAACACAACCTTTTATATAAATTTCATCTATGGGGGCTGGAGAGAAAACTCGGAGGTTAACAATACCTGCTACTCTGCCAGAGGACCCAGGGTTTGATCCCCAGCATCTGCATGGCAGCTTAAAACCATCTGTAACTCCAGTTCTGGGAAGCCCAACACCCTCATCTAACCTCCACGGGCACCAGACACATACATGATACACAGACATATATGCAGACAAAACATCTATTTTAAAATAATTTCAAAATACACTGTTAACTACTGCTTTCATGCTAGAATAGCAGAGTTGAATAGCTGCTAGAAGGAGCATTTGGCCCATGACACGGATCATGTTTGCTGTTTAGCCATTTAGTCAGCCATTTGCTGACACCTGGCCTCAAAGGCATGTTCATCTGCAACAGTCTTCTTACAGCTCTTTCCTGCCTCTGAAATAACAGCTCTTCACTCAGCAAATTCCACCTCCCCTTCACGCCCACAGCCTCAGTCACACCTTTAAGAAGAGCATTGCTTTCATATAGTGTGACAACCTGTCCCAAAGCAGGCATCCAGGGAAGTACAACTATGGAACAGACAGCCTCGGAGTAGTTTCTAGGGGGAAAAATAGTCTAATGATAGTTGAAGTTGGAATCATGTAATTTGTCATTTGCCAATTTTTGCTACCACACGTTCTCAAGTCTGATGACTATATTACACACATTTTAGGTTCATTTAGCTTGGGATATCGTCAGTAAAGTTTGTGTTATTCATTCAAAATGGATAGAAATCGGGGACAAGATCCATAAGAGTGAGCAGAGAATAGCTTCCTCATTTCCAACACTAAGATTCTATTGCTAAGATGATTATAACAAGAGAACATCAAATCCTCATTCTACAAAAAATAAAATAAAAAATAAAGTATAGGTTGGTCTAAGCACAGGTCTGAAGGCATGGCCTTGGTCCTTTTTTAAATTCAACTCAAAATGACAAATATTTATTGAAAAATTTTACACACCAAGTAATAGCCTAGACCTCAACAGGGATTCTTACTGGCCAGTTTCAGTTCTATAGGAGTCATAGTCTAGAAATTATATAAGGGAGAGAAAATATGTGTGTGATGGAATAATTAACCAAGTAACTAACAAATCAAAGAATTGGCGATGGATATTAATTTCTAGTACATTTACAGGTACTATGATTTTTTCATTCCTTATCAGTATTTTTAACTTTTTATTATTATTATTATTTATTTTTGAGTTTGCAGGATGAGTTAATGGCTCAGTCAGTAAAGTGCCTACTGTACAAGCATGAGAACTTAAGTTTAGATCCTAGCATCCAAGCTAAAAAAAAAAAAAAGAAAGAAAGAAAGAGAAGAATAAGAAGGAAGACAGGAAGAAAAAGCCCAAACATGGTCACAGGGGCACCTGTAATCCTAGCATGGAGGAAGGGTATGTATCTAGAGACTGGCAGATTCCCCAGAGCTAGGCAGTATAGCTGATTGGTGAGAAATGGCTTCAGTGTGAGATCCTGTCTCAAAAGACAAGATATAAAATGATCAAGAAAAATGTCTGACATTGACCTCTAGAAGTACACATACCCCCCCCTTGTACACATTCACACACACACACACACACACACACTTTTTTGTCCTCTAGTTTTTTACATGGTTAATAATAATAATAATAATAATAATAATAATAATAATAAAGTGACTTTAAAAAACAAACAAAAAAGTGACTTTAAAGATTATAAAATACTATGATTGACATAATATTTTATCAGAATGGATAGCTCAATCACTAACATGCTTGCCTCACAAGCATCAAGACCAGAGTTCAATCTCTACAATCAGTGTAAAAATACTGGCTGTGATAGAGCATATTCATAATCTCAGCTCCCTAGCGAGGAAAACAGGAGGAACCCTAGCTGGCCAATCTAACTTAGTACCAAGTTCCAGACCACTGAGAGACTCTGTCTCAAAGAAAGTGAAAGGACTACTCAGACCTGGCTTGATGGCATACACTTTTAATTCCAGCACCCAGGAAAGCAGAGATAAGTGGATCTCTATGAGTTCAAGACCAGTCTGATTTACATAGAAAGTCCCAGCTAGGGCTACAAATTAAGATCCTGTCTCAACAAAAAGATGTTGAGACCTGATGATGACACCTAAAGTTGTCCTCTGGCCTACACACACACAAACAAAATCATACATGTACACATTAACTTAAAAATAATGAACAATTATGATTCTATCTTTAGTAATTCTGGAAACATCTCTTTCATAAAGGCCAAAGTTAATTATGAAGAATAGCAATTCACTAGACAGATACTGCTAAAAGATAATCCAAGAAAAAAAAAGATGAACTAGCATGGTATGTTGAAGTAATTAACTCCAGATGGACAGAGAAGTAAATATATTCCTGGAGAAACAATGGAACTTAAGAGAAGCAACAAGCAAGATCATGAGGGATCTAGAGAACACACGTTTCTTCCTGCTAAAGTTATATGGTAGTTAAAATGAAAGCTACATTCACAAATAGTTGTATAATAGTTGTATAGGTTGAGCAAAACCAACAGATGAAAAGAAGAGCCTCTTCAGCCACTACTGATTCCAAGAGGTGATAAAATCATGGCTGGCACTTTGGCTGGAATCTCTTATATAAAAGCAGTTTAAAATAAATGTGTCTAACTAGGTGATATTTCAGGTTCCTTCTGCACATCAAATTCCATGATTTTTTTTGACATTTGGGTTCTGATGTCATTTCATTCAACTTCTATTACAGCTGGCTGTCAATGTAATATTACATAGCTGGGCACACACACACACACACACACACACACACACACACACACACACACACATCTTTAAAAAAAAAAAAAAGCCTTTCTGTAAAGTGTCCTGAGAGTTTGACAGGTGGGGCTGATACTAGCCCAGATTTGGGAACTGCTATTGCAATCTCAGGTTAACATGCAAGGAAGTAAGAAGGTAAACACCTGGGAGGTGCAGACGGAGAAGGAGCTGGACTTGTTTAGGAGTGAACTAGGACATCTCAAGGAAAGCAACTCCTCCCTCAGATGGACCATTATTGTTCCTATAAAAAGGCCAGTGTTTCCAATGAGCAGCACCCTGCAAGCAACATCAGTCTCCATCCTACTGTTCCTCTGGTGAACCAGGTAAGTGAGCACTCACTCATTTACATTCACAATGTTTACATCTACTAAATACTGAAGCCAACATTATACTAGAAAGCTTTCTTTTTTAGTATATTAGGAGGGACTTTGACATAAAAGTACACTGTTTATAGTAACTCCTTTTTTGAGTATAGAGTATAGTAATCTAGTAAGCCACTGGCAGCTTGTCTCATTTCCTCTGTTGTGTAAACAGAAAGTCCTGAGGAACAGTTCCTACATGAAGAATGAAAGCAGAAGCTGTCTGATAAAAAGCCTCCCTCAGCACCCTATCACCTAACCCTGTGGTTGGCTTTGCTCGTTTTTTCGACTTTCTTTTTCCTGGAGAACTCTTAGAATCCAAATTAGTCACTAGAGTTCTTTCGGTGGATTTAGGCATACTATATAGGTATCATGCCTGTCCCCTGTAGTGTGATAGTTGAGACTTAGAAAGCAACTAGGAAGTGGAGGAATTAGCACAATCAGGTTTTCTGTAGATCCAGAACAAATCAGGGAGCCCAACAAAGAAAGTCTCCCCTACATTCATTCAGGAATTGCAGTTAGACCTAGGGATCTGCTCTACATTTCATCACTTGCTTGCTACATAGCTGGAACAAGTTATTCGACTCTAGATTCATTCTCAGCTAGCACAGAAAGAAGATTAATCATGGCTGATAATTATTACACATTATTGGAACTACTTTTGTGTTTAAGCAATAAGTTAGAGATGGGTCTCTTATGGCTTCATCTAGGTTAACTTGAATTTGTAACAAGATGCCTCAACTCCTGCAAGGCATTGTCTCTGTCATCAATGTTTTCTACCAATATGCCACTGAACATGGGGAATGTGACATGTTGAGCAAAAAAGAGATGAAAGAACTTCTGCAAAATGAGCTTCACCAAATTCTGAAGGTAAGAACTCTATACCAGGACTGAATTCTGAAGCAATTCTCTTCTCTACTTTACTCTACCTTTTGTTTATATGTCAAATATCAGAAAAGACTCTCCTATTTGGTAGTACAAAACTGAATTTGGCAGACTTGAAATGCCATAAATCATTGATTAATAATGTGTTATAACATGATTAAGTTAAAATGATCTTACCACACAACAGGCAAATTCATAGATTTAAATTTTCCTGTCTATAAGAACAATTCTTATGACCTTTGGAAAGTTTGCAAAATGTATTTAATTCATATTCTTACATTTGTTTTCTTTAGTGTAGAGTCCAAACCACTGCCTATTTCTGAGATTCTGGTAATCTAAGACTTCTTAAAATCAGGAAATTTTTATTAGCCTATAAATCACCAACAAGGAAAAAAAACTTAAAATTATCACCTCTGGAAATAAACATGTGTAAACTTAAACTTATCCTTAAATTCAAATGCTTACTGAATGTCATTTGGATTCCTATGGAGATCGTACATCAAATATGAGTATCATCTTACCCTCTAAACAAGCTACTTTTTTTTAGCACAGGGTTAATAGAATCCAAGGGTTAGTACTAATTTCCTCATCTAAAGAAAACAGTACCATATTTGAATCTCCACCTAGTTTATAAAAACTTTTAAAATATTCCATTTCTTTCTATTATAACTGTTAGTCCGCTGGTTCAGGCTACTTATTATAATCTCACTATAAAAATCCTCAAATGACTCTCATCTGCTCTTAAGACTCAAAATTCCTCAACATGGTTTAAAAATTATAATCTAGTCTATATTTATCTCTGTAGCTGAAAGTCTTTCTTCCTTAACTATAATTCTCTTTCCTTTTACCCTTTCTTCATATCATCATCTCTAGCTGCTTCTTCTATTCTATTCTATTCTTTCAGCCCGACTTTCTTCATTTAGATAATTCTAACCTATCCTTCATTGAATGTCATATTTTCTCATTAAACTTTCTTGAACCGAAATTGGTTTTCCTTTGATACACTCATATTTGTTACAATAAATTATAAATTTGTATATTGAATAATTAAACTTTACTGCTTAAATTTAATCTATTTACTTATCTATTATTAAAACAAGGTCACATGTAATAAAGTCTGGCCTTAACCAGACTGAGAATGTAGTTGAGAAGCAATGATCTTAGTGCCTCATCTACTGAGTGACTGGACTAGAGGCATGCACCAAAATGCCCAGCATAACACTGAAATTGTTCTCTGCTTCAGACACTCCAGCACACACTGCTAGGCAGATAGTAGCTACATATGCCCCCACCAAAAAAAAAAAAAAATCAGTTTTAAGATCTGTAATTAACAAATTAACAAAACAAAGAAAATTCATGTTTATTAATACAGATGTCTATAATTATTATTTAGAGAGTAGCTAATCATCCTTGATTAACTATTGCCATTGGGGGGGTCATGTCAGGATCTTACTTTTGATCCCAAAGAACCCAGGAACTTGCTATGCAACCCACACTGTTTTCAAACTCAGGAACATACTTTCTTGGTCTCCAAAGCATTGGTCTCAGTTATTATCTTTAGCAAAAATGATTGGACCACTTGCTCCCTTGAGCCTTTCATTCTTGAACACTGCATCCCCTCTTGGCTAATTCTTCTTGCCATTTTACTGCTTGCCTGCTAGTTGGATGGTACAATTTCTCTCTCAGTGTCTTTCTCAGTCTCTCTCTAGCTCAAAGAACTATGTGGTAAATTTCAACTTAAATGTATTAAATAGTCACATTCCTACAACCTTTCCCCAAATGGTTAACTGGGTTTATAGTTAAATAGCTTCCACTTATATCTTATTCCTTTACAGAATCCAGATGATCCAGACACTGTAGATATCATCATGCTAAGTCTGGATCACGATCATAATAACAAAGTGGATTTTATTGAGTATCTTCTGATGGTAGTCAAGTTGGTTCAGGCTTGTAATAAAATTATTGGCAAAGATTACTGCCAAGCTTCAGGGTCAAAGCAGAAAGATCAAAGTCACCAACACCAAGAGGAACAGAGTGAAAACGAAAACAAAGAGCAAGATATATCTTCAAGTTATTCAAGTTCTAGTGCAGGAGAGAATGACTCTTATTCCATTGGCTCGAGAGAAAGCAATAAATATGAGTCTAAGTCTGCTTCAAGAAAACCAAGGTATGGGAATCAGGAAAGTACTGAAGAAATAAGAAAGTCAAGGCATTTCAAATATACTGAAGAATATGAACAGGGTCAGCATGGACCAGAATCAACCCATTCATCTAAACACAAGAGAGGGAGATGTAGATCAAGGAAAGCTTCTGACTTCCAAAAACATGGCTCTGCATCAAGACGGTCTTCTACTTCAAGTACACAAGGATCTGGTCAGTCTTCTGGTATTGAAAAATATGGCGCATCATCACAACAATCATCAGCCTGTGGATCAGGACAGTCCACTAATTATGGACAACAAGGATCATCAGGAACATGTCAATATGGGTCTGGCTCAAGAGGAGCTTCTGGCTTCAGTCAACATGGATCTGGGCAAAGCCAGTCTTCTTGTGGCGGGCAGCATGGTTCTTTCTCTGGACAGTCAGCAGGCTCTAGTCAACATGGATCTTGTTGTGGTCAGTCCTCTAGCTATGGTCAGCAGGAATCTCGCTCAGGTCAGTCTCC